CTTCCTCAGGTTGGTGCCGTTGCTCCTACACTCTTCACGAACCTGATATCATGAGAAGCTCGGAGTCTAGCTTTCTCAAGCTCTCAGACGAATCTTCCGCATTTCGCCTCCACTTCTTGTTCAAAACGTCCATTTCTGTATTCCTTGCCTCGGCGATGACTGTCTTAGCAAACTAGCCTCTTGCAACCCCTGTAGACAGCGAGGCCTATTGGGCTTCATGCCTTCTGCCAGCACTTGTACGCTTTCTTCTACCGCTTCATGACTCGCTGACCTTCCTCGCTCCAAAACCCCACTGCCTTGTCTCCTCTGTTTCCACTTCAGCACGTCTCGCCAGAGCCTCCTTGGCGCATCAGGATGATCTCCGCCGCGCAGCTCCTTGTCCGCTGTATTGCCCCATCAGGCTCTGGGGGAACAGCTAGCATAATCCTTCGTTTGAGGTTACCCTACTCCGTTTGTCGCAACGATAGCACCGGATTCTTATACCGGTACTGCCTTTCCGATGTTTATAGAAGAGCCTCTTTAGCAGTGTCTCGCAGAGAAGCCACATTCTCAAGTGGTATTGCTATCCTTGATTATTCTTTACAGTTGTGATTGGATGACCTTTTCACGAGCGCATGGATGATTTCGGTTGTCTCTTTCCACTGCTGTTGCTTACCTTCTGTATCCCTTCCCGCAAAGAACATGCTGAAACCACCAGGTAGTGGTCTGTAGCCAGACCAGAAAGCTCTCAACTGTTCCTCGCTTCAATCTTCCCTCCGTGTCTTCCCAGGTCTCTTCTGTGATAGCTGAGCGTGCTCAAATCACCTGTATCACCTGTATCACCTGTCGTCCCGTTGATCATCGAATTGCTCGAGCGGGCGCCAGCAACGTCTCCATTCGTCCCTGTCGCGTGCAAGAGTTGTCCAGTGGACCCTCCTCGCTCGAGGGACACGATGTCCTTCATTCCTTTCGTTCAGAGCTTTCGTGAAGAAGTCTGACCATCGGGCGGCGGTCGTCCAGGTTCGTTTGACGTCCCGAGGGATCCAGTCGGTAACCGCTCTGGTCCAACGGTCATCGCAAAATCGCATGACGTGTCCGGCCCACCTTATCTTCGATTCCTTGGCGAAAACGGCAGCGTCCCTGATCTTCGATCGTTGGCGTAGTTCGAACTCCGGATTCCCCTCTGCACTTGCGTGTATAGGGTTACTCCTAGCATCGTCCTCTCGACAGCGCGTTGGATAACGCTGACCGCATGCTCGTCCTGCCTGCGCAGAGTCCAAGTCTCTGAGGCGTAGGTTAGGGCAGGAAGGACAGCGGAATCGAAGAGGTGGGCACGGAGCCGGATGTTCTTCGTCTTCTTCACTACTCCCTCGATGTTCTTATACGCTCCCCAAGCCGCTCGTTTCCTCCTGCTCAGCTCTGGAGCTAGATCGTTCATCATATTGATTTCCCGACCTAGGTACACGTAGCTGGAGCATTCGGTGATGTTCGTTCCGTTGAGCGTGAATGGGGCATCAGGAACCAATCCGTTTCTCATAAACATCGTCTTCGTTAGGTTCAGCTGTAGACCAACCTTACCACAGGCGCAGTCGAAATCAGCCAGCATTCGCTCCGCTTGCTCGATGTTCGGCGTTATAAGAACGATGTCGTCAGCAAAACGAAGGTGGTGTAGTTGCCGGCCGTCGACCTTCACTCCCATGTCTTCCCATTCCAGTTGACGCATGACGTTCTCGAGAGCGGCGCTGAAGAGTTTGGGCGAGATGGTGTCGCCCTGTCGGACCCCTCTCTTGACGTCGATGATGACCTCCTTGTAGAATGGTGAGATTCTGGTCGTAAAGTTGCTGTAGAGCTCACGAAGAATCTTGATGTACTGAGTAGGGACGCCCTGGTTGCCCAAGGCTTCGATGACCGCTTCTGTCTCCACAGAGTCGAAGGCCTTCTTCAAGTCGATGAACGTGAGACAAAGCGGCATCTTGTACTCTCGTGAAACTTCAATGAGTCTTGTAACCGTGTGGATATGGTCGATCGTGCTGAACCCTCTTCGAAACCCTGCTTGCTCGCATGGCTGTCCTTCATCTAGTATTCTGCCGATCCTGTTAAGGATGACTCGAGTGAATAGCTTGTAGATTACAGACAGCAGGCAGATTGGGCGATAGTTGCCAATGTCGTCCAGGTCTCCCTTCTTGTACAGCAACACGGTCCTGCTGGTTTTCCACGGAGTGGGTACCTTGCATTCCGACAGGTAGCGCGTGAAGAGTCGAGCCAGAGTTTTGATGATAACTGGCGGCGCATTCTTCAGATGTTCCGGTTTGACCCTGTCGAGACCGGGTGCTGTACGATTCTTCACCGACTTGATGGCGTGTCGGACTTCGGAAGAGAGAACTGAGGGGACGACGTATCCATCCTGTTGCAGTTGATAAGTGGGCAGATGGACATGGCTATCGAAGAGATCCGAGTAGAAGTCGTGGATGACTTTCTCCATTGCCCTTCGGGATGCAGTAACTGTTCCATCCGGACGTCGGAGGCAGGTCATCTTGGTCTTGTAGCTGGCAAAGCTTCGGCGGGCATTGCGGATGCTCCTCCCAGCCTCTGCTGCTTCAGCTAACTGCTGCTCTTCGCTCCTTGAGATCTTCCTTTATCGCCTCTCTGCATAGCTTCGCAAGCTCGGACGTGAGTCGGTGATTGCCTGCAGCTCGTGCGGCTCCACGCTGGCGTATCAGTTCGAGAGTTTCCGGAGACAGACGTCCCTTGGTGACTTTCAAACTCTCTGCCTTCTTGCCACAATCGTGAAGATGTTCAACGAGCCGATAGTACTCCTCGTCGATGTTTTCGATGACGGAATCCTCCCATAAGCTGACGAGGGAAGCGAAGTGATCCCAGTTGATGACTGTCCTGGGGCTTCGCTTCCTGAACTTCGAGGCTCTCTCAACACGCATCGAAAAGTGGAACTTTGCGCGGAGGAGACGATGGTCCGATCCCGTGTAGAACTTCGGAACAACAGCGACGTCGGTCAGGCAAAACCTTCGATTGAAGATGATGTGGTCTATCTCGTTATGGAACTGTCCATCAGGTGACTCCCAAGTCCAACGAAGGTGAGGGCTTTTGGAACTGTGAGTTACCATGGATGGTGTTGGTCGACATGATAAACTCCGACAGTCTCTCACCCTGCTCATTCCATTCCATTCCGTGAGTACCGATGTGAAGTTCTTCAGCCGTTCTTCTTGGGCCAATCTTAGCGTTGAAGTCGCCGACGATGACCTTGAAGAAGGTATGATCTTCCCTGTAGAACTTCTCCAATTCCATATAAAATGCTTCGTGTTCTCCTCGTCGTAGCTGGATGTTGGTGCGTAGGCGACGAAGATTGTCAAAGCAGGAGTTGAACCACATCTTCTCAATCTCAAACGTCCGATTCGGGTCGTAAGGCTTTCGTACGAATCGATGTTTATGGCCAAGTGCGTGTTGACGAGGACACCCACACCGCCAACGCCTCTGCTGTCGCATGTTCCAAGGAACAGTTCTTCTCCAGTATCGAAAACGGCGTGTAGCGGGCGGTGCCTTCTCGTCTCGGTCAGTCCGATGACGTCGTACTTGATCTTCCTGGCCTGCATCATCAGATCTTCGATGTGAGCTTCGGATGCAAGCGTTCGTGCGTTGAAAGTACAGATCGCCATCTTAGTCCTTCTTCGTTTAGGCAGCCTATCCGGGCCCTGAGATTCTAGCAGCCTCTCCCGAGCGGTCCTACCCAACGCTGCCGTATTGGGGGCTCCCTCAGGTTCAGGGGAATGAGGCCCATCCATATTGCTGTTTTCGGCATATTGAAGGCACACGAGTAGCTTGCCAGGCTCTGTCGTGCGGGCTAGGATAGACCTCCAGGTAGTTAGCCACGCTATCCTGGAGCGGAACAAGGGGCTTATTTTTTGGAGGCGGCCCCGAATCGCCTCCCATGTACTTCCCAGTCACTTGAATGCAAGCTTTTGGCTGTGCCGACATGCAGGATACCAACCGCACACACACAGAGCGCACCACACACGCAAGCATGCATGGATGCGCCTGAGTGGAGACAGCTGGTATGAATCAACACAGCACTACAGAAACAGGGAGTCCATCCCCTGAATCCACCTGCGTCTCAGGGCAAGTACATGGTGGCTTTTGGTCCGCGATTTACCCCCTATCCGCCACCTGGGGTCGCGCCACGTAGCCTCGCCACCAACCGGCTCGAGATCTTTCAGTGAGAGAGGACCCTCAGTGAAAGAGATCCGTGGGACATCACATACTACGGTGAAGTAATCGACTTCCAGAATCGATCTGATGGCATTATCGAGGCACAGGTGAAACTCGTCCTTCTCACTTTCAGAGCCGCCGGTTGTGGTGAGAACACCAACAGTATTGGTACCGCTCCCTAGTGTCTATTCTCAAAACCATGATTAGGTCGTTGATTCCGTTCACGGCGGGAAATAGTCCTTGGAAGACTCCACTACCGCTTTAGGGACGCCGTTTCACTTGCTCCTTTCTCCATTGTAGTAGAGCTTGACACCTTCCCCGATTTCCCTGGCCTTAGCACCTTTCCATCGCGTCTCCTGAAGGGACTTGGATATTCCTGCGCGTCATCAGATCAGCAACCTCTCGGGACTTTCCCAGTTAGCGATCCTACGTTCAGAGTCCCTATTCGAACTAGCTTCTTTGGCCGAGGCCGTTCACTCCTCGGTAGCCCTCGCATACTGACCACAGAACTCGGGCGGGGGTTCTGCGCGCCACTTCCGGGTGACGTCCTAGCATTAACACTGATTATTTTGCGACTTTTAGACATGACTGGTAGGACAGGGTGTAGACCTGGGCCTAACGCCGGTACTGTAAACATTCTTGCAATTGCTGCAGAGCATGGTTGAACCTCGGCACAGATTGACCCACGGCTCCTCAAATATGCGGACATGAGAATCCTCTCTTAGCCACTCGACCATCCCCGCCTTTCATGCAAAAATTCGAATCTTGTTTAAGAGCTTTTGCAATAATCACAATAAATCTTACTGACCAATATTATTATTAGACAGCAGTGATGGAAGAAATTCGGTGGTCAGCTGACAGCCATTTTCAATAACCATCGTCTGTTCGCTGCCGTCGACAAGCAGCGAGGAATCCGATGCCGGTGATGCCCCATGAAGAATACACAGACCGACTTTGTAGGTCACTGCCTAAAGGAAATTGGTACGTTCTGGAATAAGCAACACACCTCTACTTTCTCTTGGCAACGTTTTTTTTTCGCTCTTTTTTCACTCGTTTTATTAGAGGACTTTTAACTTTTAGGTTAACTCCGTAGAATGTGAATAAGTTCCAAGTGGAGAGGTACTTACTTTACACTTCCTGTTATCGATGCACGCTGCGATACAGGCAACCACTGAGTTCATGCCAGGATACGAGGTGATGATCTTCTTATGCATCTGTTTGGTAGGATAGACAATATATGGCGTCTCGGCTGAGCAGTCCTTATTCGCTGAAAAAAAAACTGTTTTCGGGTGCTTTACATAGCAACGAGGGCTTCTGGTTGTCCTGGAATAGGGATAGGGATACTTTTAAGAACGTTGACCATTTCGATCCACGCTTCTCTCCCTCACCTCGTCCAACCCCACTACGAAGATCTTCTTGTATTCCACAAGCCAACCTCGGAGCTTTGTAAATTTTGCCCAATTTTTTCGCCATACTGGAACAGAATCGCTTCATCAGCAATTACTTCAGATCATGCCCTGCCCACAGTGCACGGGTTGGGGGCCTTTCATGGATGTGCTCCGCTCAATCTGGCTTGCGCTTTACTATCTCGAATTATGCTGCCCAGTACAGGTAATGCTGAAATCGGGGTTGTACTGACGGATGTACATAGTAAGCCTGATACATGAAGTGGGGTACTCTAATGTGTTCAAATTCCTTTGCATCAGTTCCTGAACCGGACCTTCAAAAGAACCCTGGCAATTGGAGGACAAATGTAGTCAACGTGCAGCTGGTGAGCACCTTTCTCTCCACCCTTGAAAGCTTGGAGAATGAGGCGTGCTCTCAGCACATTGATACATAAATTCAGTTGACCCAAATTATGCGTAAAAAAGGATTTTACTCATCCAATCACTCATCCATTACCGTTGACTGAAACTGACGGTCATACAGATATGTGGATTTTGATGTATTCCGTTACCCGGTACTTCTGAGGGATACTTCAAATAATATGAGGGAAGCATCATATTTTAAAGCACTTCTCACTTTGTACGCAGAACTTGTCGGCGAAAATGAAGTTGGTGTCAGCGCCAAGATGAGCAGTGTTCCGATCAGACCTTGAGCGTCTTCCATAGAGATAGCACTTCTCGTCAGCGGGCTCATAGTTCGCAGCGTAACAAGGGATCGCTTCTCCGCTAGCATTCTGAAAAGTGTAATAAAAAATTAGTTGTCAGGAATTACCTCAAAAGTAAAGATTTCTCGTTAGTAAACTAAGTCTTTATCAAAGTCATACAACTATCCCCTAGTTTGAAAAACAAGGAAAGCGTCGACTGCCGATCACACACCACCACAAGTGACGACAGCCAAGGAAAAAGCCAAAAAGAAAAGTGGCCGTCGTCACTTGTGGTGTGTGGTCTGCACTCAATGCTCTTCTTGCTTTTTACCGAAATAGAGTGCAAATGCAAAGTAGGGTCTGAGCCAGGAGGCGCCAGTGATATCAACGTGTGCAAACTCGTGACAACTTGTCTCCGCCGCGGCCGTAGTGTGCACGTCGCGGCGAAATGAGTTACCGCGTCGCCGCGCGGCAATGCCTCGTAGGGCATTCTGGCGCGTTTCTTTCAGAATATCTGTATTAGAGCCAAGTTTTCTTCAATTCCTGGCTGTCATGCTCAAAGTGGGATCCCTTTGCGGGAATTGCTTAAAGCAACAGTCCCAGCAGGGTGGGCGTGGTCGGAAACGGCTGCAATCCCCTCGGCCGATTCCCACTTCGGAGCTGTTCAGCCCCTAGTCAAGAACGTAAGAAGTGTGACTGAACAAAAACTCACCTTGGAAAGCCGCTAGGGAGGGAGCTGAAGTGGGCGTGGTCGGAATCGGCCGAGGGGATTGCAGTCGTTTCCGACCACGCCCACCCTGCTGGGACTGTTGCTTTAAGTCAGCGAATTGCAAAATATAATTTGAAGCCTCTGGAACGCGCGATGCCCTTTGGCACATCTCCCAAAGGGCTTGAATGAACGGAAATTGAGTTATGCTAGGTTAAAGGAAAGTGAGATTTTTTCAAAATTCGGTCGGAAGCCCGGCTTAGGAAGTGTGCTGAATAAGTTGCACGATTATATAGCTAGTAATCGAGTATTGATTGCTGAATTTATCCGATCATTCTTCGAATTTGGAGTTTCGAAGAAACCCAGGTCTCCGCAATTGTCTCTCGCGCTGGCTTGTTTGTGAATTAGTGAAACGGTATTTCCATGAATCATCCACTTACAATGTTCTGTGTGCAATACATGACACAACTGCTCTGATCGATTCCTTTGAGTCTGGCAGCGACGTTCGTGGATGCTAATCGATATCCGAAGAAGACAAAGTAGCTGACCGTTTCCTTCTTTTGACAGGCTGGAATGATAGAATCGAGTTCGAGATTGTTTCAGTTCAATTTAGTGGTTGTCGTGGGTCATAGACTGTACGTCCTGGGGAGGTAAGGAACATCCTTTAATTCGTAATACTGGGAAATCGTCAATCAAACCTTACCCATCCCTTTTTGGGAACACAACAAAAAGTGAGCAGTCTTAGGTCACTTGCGGCGACACGTGCCTTTGTGGCGTGCCGCATACGACACATTTGTGCTTGGGATGAATGGAGTACCCGACGGGAGGCCCGACACGCGACAATTTAAACACAAGTTAAATAGAACGTACACTACAGGCCTGCATGCACACCACGCGCTGAGACTCGTCCGCTGGCTCTGCCTTCATGCTGCGCGACGGGCCTCCTGTCAGGTAGCCGAATGAATGAACCATTTTATAATTCCGCGCACAGTGCGGTAAATTTGCACGGCTCTACATCCGGACTAAAGCCACAGACCCACAATTTCTGCGGACCTCGTTTTACCTTTTTCAATGTCCTTCGAAGTAGGTGAATAATAATAAAAACACTTTTGGTGTCGGTTGGTTTTTGCGCAGCACCCAAACAGCTTCAGCCGGGCGGAAGTGGTGTAGTGACAAGTGGCGCGCTTACCACGCGAGCGGTCCGGGGATCAAATCCTGGGTCGTGAGTCGCCCGGGCCAACCAAGCCTTCCATCCCTCCGGGGTCGGTTAATTGGTACCAGACTTGTCTGGGAGGATAAAAACACTGACTTGTACATCGGCTGGCCCCCGCAAGTCATTGTATAGGCCACATCGCATTCAAACGCCACTACGAATGTACAAATGGAAGTAGAATGCGTGCCGCATCCCAAAAAGGGATTGATCAACGGCAAATGCTTTATCCTTTATCCTTTACCCAAACAGCTAGTCCTCGTTTAAGAGACTTCTCAGACTCAGA